CAGCTCGTGCTGAGGAGGCGGGAACTAGCTAGGTGCCATCTTTATATTCCTACAAATAACATAAGTGTTAATGTTGGTTGAGGTGAGGTGAGGTGAGACAGACCAGCTCTTTCCCACTTATTCTAGTCTTTATGCTAAGATAGGCTAAACACATCAAAATGCAACCATACACACACAAGATTGACATTGATCTCCTTATGTCACTCTAAAAGAAAAGGAATGAGTATGTTTCATAAAATGTTGAACTACTACTTAAATATGTGCAATGCGGGTAACTTGTCAAGACACTAATAAACTGGAATCCAGCCTACCTGTAATGATGTATTGCTAGAAATACATATGTATTTCTGAGGAATCATTTAAAAGTGTATTTTTAAATAGGTGGGGGTTTTTTGTCAATATATACACAATTGGAAATATAATATTTATCAGGATTTTGCATTCTGTTTTAAGTAAATATAGTATACTGTATATCTGGTGAAAGTCACAGATGGAAAACCCCTGCAGGATGTGAATAATGGAAGTCAGTTAACTCGACTGTTTGTTCTGGTTATGACACATTGACAATCATCACATGTGCTGCTGGGGTCATTCTGATAGAGAAGTATTATTATAGAGATGTGAAAGTTATATAAATATCCTGTATTTATCAACCTGGTACATTGTTGGCTAGGTGTCCGTTGTGGGAGTATAATATTAGAAATTGTAAACTTGGATGTTGTGGAATTGGCCAGTTTATGACTGGTATTCAGCACTTCTTTGTTCACAGGCAACTTCCCCATTGTAAACCAATTAATTTATGACTTATGGTGCATCCTCTGTAGACCTTGTTATTTGGGAGGGGGATATAGGTTTTGCCACTGGGCCTTCAGTCCTCTGAACACCCTCAACAATGAACTGTAAATAAAAGGAGCACAGCAGTAGTATTGTGAATCAGGGTGCTGGATGTGTTGGAGACCATTAGAGGGCGCTGGAAAGTTTGTTGTATTGTAGTGTAATTTGTTTTCACTCAGACTTTTGCCAGTGACATCTAGTGATATAATAGTATTAAGAAATATAATAAATTATTTTTGGAAATTAGACCAAAAGCTGTTATTATGAAAATTTAAATCTGAACAGGACAGACAAGGTTTTTTCCACAGTGAGTTTTATTCAATTACCTCTGCTGCAGATGGATGATTTTTACATATATATTTTTTGCCAGTAATATGTAGATCTTTAACTTTGGTTTTTGCATACCTGACACAAGCTGTCAGACTCGACAAAGAGGCAGTTCTTCTCATCACAGGGTGTCCGTGGGGTCTTAAAAAGTCTAAAATCCAATTATCTGAATTTTAGGCCTCAAAATGTTTTACTTTGACCTGTTTTAGTGACGTAACAAGTTGCATTTTTCAGTCTCGCTTTTAAATGTGTTTTTGGGTTGTGATCATAGCTATGTTTTCATTAGTGTATAGTCAGCTGAAAATAAGAACAGTTGTGTTTTTTGTTACCTTAGAATGAGCTGTTTATATCTACAGAAGGAGTGGGTCCTCCACTGCCATATTTAATGTTAGTTTCTCCAACACGCTGGGAAAGGTAGAGTTAGGCGAGGGCATTCAAATCAGCAGCTACACTGCTAGATGCCACTAAATCCTACATGTTGGTCCTTTAAATTGCATTAATAATGGTTTTAAAAAGTCTTCTAAAAAGCCTGCAGAAACACTCTTTAACATTTTGTAGACTGCTGACCCTAGAGAAAATTTGTTATGTTAACAAGAGTCTGCACCCTCAATTTTTTTTACACCACTTGGGAACCAGTTTTGGATCAGTAGAAAAGATGGACGCTTCAGAAATCCACTCCCCTCACAGAACAAGACATTTACTTCTATTTCTGTCTACACAGCAAGAAGATTGTGAAAAGGCCTACTTCAAAATGGATAATGTGCTTATTGATGATCGACGCATTCATGTAGACTTCAGCCAGTCAGTCGCTAAGATCAAATGGAAAGGGAAAGGTACTCCTTTGTGATTTGCATGTTTTTGAATATTTCTCTTCTCTTATGTTTTTAATGGTTATGTGTAATGTAAACCTAGTTTCTATATACAGTGTTACTCTCCTCACCTTGAGTTAACTCTTGTAGTGTGTTATATAAGCAGGCACCTTACTCATGGCCTCTGTTTCCTAGGTGGGAAGTATACTAAAGATGACTTCAAAGCCTACGAGAAGGATGTGGAGAACCGATCCAAGCTGGCTCTCAAGGATCAAGTGAAGCCTAAACAAGAGTATCCTTGTGTGTCGATAGGCTGGGGTTGAATTTTCCAGTTTTCCCACTTCATATCATTACATACCTGTCTGCAGTATTTAGCTGTATGGCCTTTGTTGTGGTGGCTACTATTTTTTTGTTTTTTCACAGTTTGATTTGGTAAAACTTTCAGCATTGATTTTCTCAATTTACTGGCTGGGTTTCCATAACTTTCCCAAAAGTTCCAAGTATGACCTGCTAATTGAGGAGGAAGAGGAGGCGACAAGCCATCGGCACTCTGAGAAGAAACACAAGGAGAAGAGGCACCATCATCACTCAGATGACGAGGACAGCAGGAAGTCCAAAAAGCACAAGGTATTTTCACTCCATAGCACCTTTCACATATTCACTGTACTCTTTAAATGCTTTAAGCCAAAACAAAAAGTAGATAGTCTCTGTAGTCTGAGTGCTGAGGTTTAATGTCACCGACAACCTCTGTAGCCTCATTTAACCACTTGCTAGCAACACACACTTCAAAATTCACATGTGGGGTATTTACTGACATATTTTATGTTGTAAAAAAAAACAAAAAACTTGAAAATCTTCTTTTAAGCTTGTGTTAATCACAGAACTTATTTCAGACATCTAAACAAAAACCCATTCAAAAAAACCCATTCACTGCGAGAAGAGCACCGGAGATGCAAATATGTGGGTCTATACCTGCACTGTTTAAATCATCAGAAGTTAAACACGTTTAGTTCTTCCAATTCATTCATTCAGACAACTGAGTGTACTGTTAATGTTGCCCTTAGAAAAGCATTGCTTTCCTTAAGCTTCTCTTTAGCCTTCAGCAGTCTGTAAAAAGTTCTGCCTGATTCAAACTGTGGCATGCCAGTAGTGTAGTGACAATGGCAACATATATATATATATATATATACATACACCTTGGGTGGTACTTAGAGGAATCTGACAGTTCATTTTAAAATTTAAATTGATTAATTAAAAAACATAATACTATCAAAATACTTAAACTGTTAGATCACTGAAATGTATTTAAAATAAGTTTTGCATTTCCTGTAATAGCTAGTTTCAATATCACCCTGCTTTGAAGTCACATTCATGCACAAAGCACATGCATAGATCCATTATTAGGCAAGATGGTTAGCAGAGGTAAAATTAATGGTTCAAAAACACTGCAATCGTATCTCGGAATGGAAGAGAAGTGTGGATCAGGAGTACCTCTTTTCCACCAAATTAGCTCTGCTTCTTCAACTGGTTGCGTTCAGGATTCAACAACAGTCAAAATTAAATAATCTTATAAACTTGCCTACTGCGTGAACTGTCTGTAGCTGAACTACACAACTGTGTAGTCACAATGGTGGTACATGGGGGAGGTTGTATGCGGTGTAAAAACAGGGAAACACTGTATTACACAAAAGTTTCCAGTCTCTAATTAGGGGACTAATGGACCTGTCACACATCTACGGCCACACCTAGGGAGGAGCAACATTCCCTGTCTGTGATGAAACCATTTACAAACAATTGAGCATTTGAAAATTAAAAAGGAAATAAACAGGTTTAAATTGAAATAAAGAAACGACAGGGAAGCAAATAAACAACAGAACTACCATCACCTCTTTAAATTTTCACAGAGCATCACAGATTAATTATTTGGAATTTTCTGTAGGTTTAAACTTGTCTAATAAAGAGCTGCAGGTAATCGTTACTGTGACAGTAACTAGGTGGTCCATATACGCACAAACAGACAGACACACCGGAGCCTTGTTTTAGGAAGCAGGTTTCCTGATTTATCTGGATTATTGTTGAGAAAATCCCTCATACCTGGAACAGTGACTGAAAGAACTGTTCCCGATAACTGGGAAAACCTGATTCTTTGAGCAGGCCCATGCATGCACAGACGTTCACAAATAGGCACACACAGTCTCCACCTCAATGTTCCCAAGTTCATTTACCCAGACAAGTAGTGGAAATGGCTATTGTTTAACAGAATATTTAAAATGAGGCGACCCTTCATTGTCATTTTAAATGCAGGATGGTATAATGAAATTCAGGTTATAGTTCCATGCTAGTACATGTTGAACACTGAACTGAAATCAACAAATAGCATTCTGATGTAGGTGGGGTTTTTTTTTTTCAAAGGTGTGCCAATTACTATGCATTATACCTTGTTTAAAATGTTGATATCGTCACAGACATAACTGTTGGGTTTCTGTAAATATTTTTAAAAGGAGTACAGTCTAGACCTACTGTATTTTAAAAAATTCCTGAGATAACTTTTGTTATTAATTCACGCTATACAAATTGAATTGAATTGAAATTGAATTTAAAAAATGTACGTTGTGTGCTTTGAACACGAAATACCACGACTGCACACAGATATTTGACACCAGAGATATTGCAGCTGCTATGTTTGAGAAGGGCTTGTGTCGTTCCAGTCAGTGGTGGGCGCGCTGCCACTTATTACTGTACTTGAGACTATTTTGCAACGACTATGTTTACATGCAAGGAGTTACTGGGCTGGCGGCCAGATGTGGCTAAAGTTTATCCAGGTTGTTTGCATTGACCTTTGATATTTTAAGTTTCCTTGTTATCACATATCTGTTGTCCTGAAGTGTCCTTAACACAAAGGACAATCTGTTACATAAGTGATAATAGGTTGCTGCCTGTTAATTCTGGTAGAAGTCCATTGACACATGACAATACCTACAATCTCTTCAATACTTGAGGAAATATTTATTATTTATTTTGTTTTTATTTCAATGTACAATTCCTCTCTGCTGCCTCGTCATGGGAAACACTTGTTTGGGAAACTCCAGTGAACGATGCAGTTGTATAAATTAAGTTTTACATAGGTGCCCGTTTAGCTCAGTTGGCTGGCGTCCCATGTACCGAGGCTGAGTCCTTGCTGCAGCGGCCCAGGGTTCGAATCCAAACTGCTGGCCCTTTGCTGCGTGTCATGCCCTCTCTCTGACCCCCTTTCCTTGTTTATCTTCAGTTGTCACTGTCATATAAAGGCAATAAAAGCCCCCCCCCAAAAAAATGGTTAAAAGAAGTTTTACATTCTGTTCACATCTAACCTGGTTTAGTCCAGTATGTCTGCTGATTTGCTCCATTTTTAAAGTCCGAACTGAAAAATAAAATACTTTTATTTAATTTGATTGAGGTCCTTCTTGGCAGGTCAGGTATGCTTTGTCGAAAATTAAATATTTTCTTTGAAAAAGCCTTATTGGATATCAGTTCGGTAGAGAAAAGCATGTAAAACCGATGAGGAGTGTAATTCTACAAAAACAATTTTAGGTAATACCTAGTATTGCACTCTGAGCTCCCACTGATGAGTCATTGCTTCCATAAAGTAACAGTTTTTCCAGGAAGTGCAGATCCCCATTACATGCCCTTTCAGTTTCTAAGCAGATGTTGTGGTAAGTGTGGTCACCCACAGAGGCTTACCAACTGTCACCTACTCACCCTACTCAAAATATCTGATATTTATATAAATATCACATAATATTCCATTTATTATAGTAACTCATGGTCATGAGATACTTTTTCATAGAATTGCTCTGTTATGTTAAGTGAGCTAACCATGTGGTTTGTAACACAGAATCATCTGGAAAGTCGTTGGAAACTGTTTGGAAAAGTACAGGCTTTTTAAAAAAATACTCAACAGGTGATTGGATGAATCATCTATTAATGTAACTTCAACCATTCAAATGTAATGTAATCAAACTCTTACCGAAGTCAGTTCTGATAGAACTGATGCGATCGGCATCTACGCTAACCTCTTTAGCAGCTGCCATTACATTGTCACACATCAAGCGAAAAGCTACGCCTGTAGCTCATGCCGTAGCTGCCAGTAGTTCCTCATAGGACACTAATTGGTCTGGTACCACAATTGCATAGCTTTAAACATGGCAAGATGGATTTTTAACGTGATTTTGTTATCTCACAAGTCCAGCTGCCTCGCCAGGTTATAAATGATACCATACAAAGTAGATTTTAAAAATTATTCCATGTAGTGAACCAAAGTGGTTTCTGCTTTGGTCAAGACCAAAGTAGCCATGGGACCGTTTTGAACGCAACCTCGCACGCCTATCTTTACATATTTGTCTTTCCCATCAACAGCCTTATCTCACAGTCTCACACCCTTTGTCTTGTCTTGACATTTCCAGGACATCGAAGACAGCCGGCGAGACAGGAAGATGGGACGCCAGCGCTCTCGATCCCGCTCCAGCTCCCGTTCCAGAGAGAGGGACCACAAACACAGCAAGTCTCGAGTCAAACACGGAAAAGAGGGCCGTGATAAAGGCCATAGCCACAAGGACAGGAGCCCGAGCCGCTCCTCCAAGAAGTCCAAGGATAAAGACAGGAGTAGATACAGATGAGCGAAAGCAGGGAATGAACGATGGTTTACCACCAATTCATTAAATATCTTTCTGTGGCAGGAGAGTGGAGCAACAGAGAGGGCATGAACGTTATTCAGCATGAATTATACGACATCTAAATATTCACAAGCCAAAAGTACTGACCTCCTTTAAAATCACTTGACTTGGACTTTTAGAAGAAAAAAAACAGATGATTATTAAGTCCTTGTCACATTGTCTGAAAGAATAAAAAATGTTTGAGAAATGCTTTTTTTACAGGTATATTAAAAAAAAGTTTCAAATGCCACAAAATGTGACAGTTGTCTTAACTTTTTATCAATTATGTATTTCATTTAAATTCCAAAACAGACTTCCTGCTCTGTTATTTACCTCCTCCACTCACACACTTCCCAATTTAGAACAAAGTTGATTGATGATTAAAACTTCACCTTTGACTTTAGTTTCAACAGTTAGGGGGTTTTATTTTACATTCATAAAATGTGGGCATGGAAAATTGCTGGGTGGAGTGTGTCTCCACAGCACTGAGGGAATTCACTGGTGTCTCCCTCCACCCACCTCATACAGCCGGGTGATAAAACATCTCAATGTTACACAAACTGAAAGCCAGCATATCTCTGCTGGCAAGTTGAAAGCAAGTGTTAGAGGAATGTTTTAGGTGTGAGGTGACAAGATACAATAGATGGAATACAAATGACATCCTTATAATACAAAAAGATTATAACCTTTTTATGAAAGCTTTTAGTACATCTCTGTTAGGCACAATACAACTGTAGAAGCAGTAATTCTCTCTGTGATTAAAACCTAACCACACACACACACACACAGTCCCTTGATTATCTGTGTAATTCTTAAGAAAGAGGCACCACACTGTTTTTAATTTCCCGAAAACACCAAGTTGTTTTGTGGGCGGAGGTGGGGTTGACTGTGCAGTGAGGAATGGAAATAAGTCTTCTGTAGTGTAGCTGAATAGTTTGTAGGGGATTGTCAATAAGAACTGAAAGGTGACAGCACCGAGCAGCGTGGAAAAAAAGGGTTGCACAGCTTCACTCCCTCGTATGGAACCACTGCAAGAGACTTCCCCAGCCACCCACGCTGCACGCACATCTCACTGTCACCTTTAACCTTCTGTACAATCACAGAGCATATACCAACACGCCCCAGATAACAACAAGCTGGTTCTAAATTAAACACCAGTGGAGGAATGAAGCTTAGCATGCCGCTAGTTTTAGACCTGTGAAGTTGATACCAAACTGAAAAGATCCATGTCTTATTTTGAGTCATTTGAGTATGTTATGACTGACAGCAGAACTCGTTGTATAGTCACATACTGAACCAAGCCTAAGGTGTTCTCATTATAGGATTCACTCATGTCTGTTTCCTCATTGCTCTCTGCTGTTCTGTTCTCTTGCGTCATCAGCGTAAGGAAAGCAAGAATGTTAAATGAATTGCTGCTATAGCAGAATGGGAGGTTGTCGTGTCAAGGCTGTCATACACTCCCATCATTTCAAATTCCTAACATAGACAGGCTCATGCCCACATTCTGCACCTTTAGTTATGCAAACATGCATACCGGAAGTGCACTTTGTAGGGCAGACTAATAGAATGTGGCAAATACAGTACATCTGTCCACACACTATTCTTTATTTTCCTCTGAGACGTTACATTTTTTGGATTTGGAATCCAGAGCTAGCTTAGGTAGGGATACTCAGGACTAGTAGCCACTACTACCTATGTAACGTATGACACACATTCTAGTTGACAAAATGTTTTTCTTGTTATTTGGTGTGTAATGGCTACACATTCACAACTTTTTTGTGTGTGAAAATTATAGTGTTTTTTTGTGGAAATACATGTCTGGATGTCTTTAAATTTACAATTATATTTGCACGAGTTTATTTTAAATTTTTGTCCTACCAAGCACAACATTAAACTGTAACTAATAAATTATTCTCTGACATTTAGCAGGTTTCACATCCTACATTAGATTTTGATACATTTGCACTTTTCACTGCTGTTAACTAGAAAAGGAAACATATTTTTAAGACAAAGTGTGCTCACTATTTGAATGAAGAGTGTGTGATCACATTTAACACACTGTGTAAGGAAATCATTTAAGCACATTCCATACAATCATATTTTCTTATATATAATAATTTATATATATATATATATATATATATTTTAAATGTATATTAGCCTCCTAAATGAACATACAGTGTAGGCTTATGTTGACATAGTGTACACAGTATGTTTGATTACTGCGTATTATATGGACAACAAACATAAAAAGTACAGTGATACATTAATAATTGTGTTAAGTGATGATGATAGTCTTATAAGAAATATTGGCACTCCCGCTGTATGATTCACTTTTGTTTTAATTCACTCTGCCTCCACATCAGCCACGTGTCTTTCTAGAGAAAAATCAGGTGTTGCTTGGAAGTATACACCCAGCTGAAGGCGTTAACAGGACCCCGTCTGAGCAAGCTCAGACAAACCATGTAGGAAAGTTATGGTCATTGTACAACTTGTGCAGTGGTTACAAACACAAATTACCCCTCATCATCTGCTGTACCTCTTCCTCATTTCATGCAGTGTATATACACAGGGTAAAAACGGATATGGTTTTAAGGAACCAAAAGCACTATGTGTCATTTAAGAAAAAAAATATTGTTCCAGTTTCGTGCCTTAGCAGCACTTTATTGTAACAGATGTTGAATTGTTTTAAGTCACAAGGATAATGTAAAGTCCTGACTGTGAGCCCTGGCCTTTTGACATTTGCTTTAAAGGTGTAACATTTAGGAGGATCTATTGGCATAAATTGAATATAATATTCATAGGTATACATGAGGACGAAATTATTAGCCCCCCTACGAAATTTTCATTTTTTTAAAAGTATTTGCCAAGTGCTATTAAATAGAGCAAATAATTTTTAACACAGCTTTTTCAAACATCCTAATTTTATTTTGGATGCTTACATTATTTTACTGCAGACAAAAACGAAATTATTTCACAAAAACCAAAAACTACCAGGGTCAAAATTATTAGCCCCCCTGATCCTAATAGTCAATTGTGTAACTTTTTTGCTGGATAACAGCCTGTCGTCGTTTGACACGTCTCCTGAGGAATCCCAGCCCATTCTTCTTTGGCATATCTCTCAAGCTCCTCCAGATTTGATGGCCTTTTGGCATGGACCTTGGTCTTCAGTTCACCCCACAGATTTTCAATGGGATTCAAGTCAGGGCTTTGTGCAGGCCAGTCAATAACGTTCACTTTGGTCTTCTGGAGGTAGTTCTTCACCAGGAGCGACGTATGTTTTGGGTCGTTGTCATGTTGGAAGACAAAGCGACGACCCAGACCCAGTTTTGCTGCTGACTGCTTGAGGTTTTTATTTCAAAATCTTCACATACATCCTCTCTTCCTCTTCATAATTCCTTCCACCATTACACGAGATTCCCAGCTTCCAGATGCACTGAAGCATCCCACGAGCATCAATACTCCCACCCACCGTGTTTTCACTGTGGGCACGGTGGTTCCTTGGGTTACTACGCCTCTCCCTCTTTCTCCAAACATAAGCAATGTCTCTATGGCCAACAGATCTATTTTCATCTCATCTGACCAAAGGACATGCTTCCAGTATGCATAATCTTTCTCCAGGTTGTCCTTAGCATACTTCAGTCTGGCTTGAAGGTGTCTCTTCTGCAGAAGTGGAGTTTTTCTTGGTCTGCAACCTCGCAGTCCATTCCTGAGCTCTGCACAGGAATGGACTCTCTCTAGTGATTGTCTTCTTTGAGACTACAATTCCCGACTTGGCTAAGTCATTCACTAGTGTCTTGGCAGTTGTTCTGGGGTCTTTAGACACATCTCTCACTAGTTTTCTTTCCAGAGTCTTTGAAATCTTTCGCTTCCTACCTCTGCCAGGCTTGTTCTGTACTGTGTGGCTCTCTTTGAATTTCTTGATGATACTTCTCACTCCAGTTCTTGACACCTGATACAAGCTTTGAGCAGCACATCATTGCACAACAGTGGTTTGTGCTATGGCTCAATAAAAAGGTCAGTTCTTAAGGGGGCTAATCATTTTGACCCTGGTAGTTTTTGTTTTTTGTGAAATAATTTTGTTTCTGTGTGCAAAGTAAAATAATGTAAGCATCCAAAATAAAACTAGGATGTTTGAAAAAGCTGTGTTAAAAATTCTTTGCTCTGTTTAATAGCACTTGGGAAATACTTTTAAAAAAATGAAATTTCCATAGCTAATAATTTCGTCCTCATGTGTACATGTTCAGAAATGGCATTTTATATAGATC